CACTATATGAACCACTGATGTGTTTATACATGTTGATCATATCCCCCTTAACCTTCTTGGCGGTATTCCCGAGTGTAGCTCGGGGTAACATTTCAGTACCACAAACGGTAACCCCGAGCTACACTCGGGAATACCATGCGGTACTGCTCCGGCATTTGTTCTTCACTTACCTTACCCTGCGCTCCCACGATGTGTCCCCTGCAGCGTCCCCGGCCATCTCCTCCGGCCGATGCCGGCATCCGGCTTCTGTGTCCTGTCCCTGTGACGTCGAGACGTACGGGCGCCGCTGGCGGCGGGAAATTTAAAAATTTTAAAAAATGTTTTTTTTTTTTTTTTACATTTTACATAGTAAAACATTGCTGTCTCAACCAATTTCGCATACATCTTGTCCTTAATGCTTTGTCCTGCGACCTGCCTGCATTTTGTCTGTTCTTTCTGCCTGGAAACTGAGAAATGTCCATGGCGTCCAAAAAGTGTCCCTTTAGGTCAAAAGTGGTTTAGATCAGCTAGGAGAACAGCGATAGTAAATCAGAACCACTTGCAGAATTGAGTGATAATGATTTGTGGGGAAATTCGTCATCAGACACTGAAAACGATTTTGCGACTTTGCTCAGCAATGTGCTAACTTGGCGCTATATTTCACATTTCAGTGTTTTTGGTTTGATTATATTATTGAATTAAATGTATTATTATTATATTATTATTTTTTATGATTATTTATTAAATTATAATTTATGATTACGTGTTTCAAATTTTATCATACCCGAGATGTTTACTAGACTCTTGTTCGGACAGATTTCAGTGAGTTATTCCTAAAAATTACAGGCCTACAATAAAAAAACTACATATTTCCATGCAAAAAAATAGTACCGCTTTCAGCACCAAAAATCGGAAAGAATCATACCACCAAGGAGGTTAATCTCCTCTTCTCAAGAGAGAATAAATTCAGTTCCTCTAATTTTTCCTCATAGCTGATATCCTCCATGCCTCTGATCAGTTTGGTTGCCATTCTCTGTACTTTATCCAGTTTCCCAGTTCTTTTTCTGAATTAGTGCCCAAAATTGAACTGCATATTCCAGATGAGGTCTTACTAATGATTTGTACAGGGGTAATATGATATCTCTCTCTCTCTGGAGTCTATACATCTTTTAATACAAGAGAGGATTTTGCTCGCTTTAGAAACCGCAGCTTGGCATTGCATGCCATTATTAAGCTTGTGATCCACCAGAACTCCCAGATCCTTCTCCACCATTGATTCCCCCAGTTGTACTCCACTAGTAAGTATGATGCATGCATATTCTTAGCCCCCAAGTGCATAACCTTACATTTATCAACAATAAACCTCATTTGCCATATAGTTGCCCAATTAAACAGTGCATTGAGGTCGGCTTGTAAGTTGGAGACATCCTGTAAGGACGTTATTCCACTGCCCAGCTTGGTGTCATCTGCAAAGACTAAAATTGTATGTTTAATCCCAGACCCTATATCGTTTAAAATATATTAAAAAGTAATACACCTTACACTGAACCTTGGGGTACACCACTGATGACCCCAGACCATTCAGAGTATTCAGAGTCATTAACCACTAGCCTCTGAATACGATCTTTTAGCCAGTTTTCTACCCATTTACATACAGATTTTTCCAAGCCCGTAGACTTTACCTTACACATTAGCCGTGTGTGATGAACTGTCAAACGCTTTTGCAAAATCCAAGTATACCACATTCACTGCCACCCCCCTGTCCAAGGTTTTTCTCACCTCCTCATAAAAAGAAATCAGATTTGTTTGACAACTTCTGTCTTTCGTGAATCCAAGCTGTCTGTTGCTTAAAATGTTTTTTTCTAGCAAGAACTCATCTATGTGGTCTTTTATTAAACTCTCCAATATCTTCCCAACTATAGAAGTTAAACTAACAGGTCTATAATTACTTGGTAAAGATTTTGACCCCTTTTTAAATATTGGCAGATATTATTAAATGACAGAGCTCAATTCTTTAAGGACCTGTGGGTGTATGCCATCCGGTCCAGATGCTTTATTCAGCTTTATTCTGTCTAAATTTTTTTGGATCATATCAATTGTGAGCCAATGTGGATCATCTGGAGCTGTGTCAATACCATGCCCATTATGGACAAGAGCTCCCCCATGCTCCTTTGTATACACAGAACTGAAGAAGGTATTTAATAAATTTGCCTTCTCTTTGTTCCCAGTCACCCACTCTAGATTATTTTGTAAAGGGCCTACATGCTCGGACTGGACCTTTTTACTATTAATATATTTGAAGAATTTTTTGGGGTTGGTCCTGCTATCTTTTGCAATCTGTCGTTCATTTTCAATTTTTGTGGCCTTTATTTCCTTTTTGCATATTCTGCTATATTCTTTGTAATGTTTAAACAATGATAGTGTTCCTTCATTTTTATATTTAATAAAAGCTTTTTTTCTCATTATCTATAGCTTTTTTAACTTTGGCCGTAAGCCACATAGGTTTGGTTTTTAGCCTTTTAAACTTATTGAACATGGGAATATATTTTGCAGTGTGTTCACATACAGTCTTTTTGAAGAACTCCCTTTTCTGTGTTGTGTTCATTGATGCCAATATTCCCACCCGGTCTAAGTCGTGGAGAGCAGCTCTCAGCCTTCGAAAATTAGCTCTCTTAAAATTGAGCAGTTTTATTTTTCCTGTATGTGCTTGCTGTTTACAGCTAACAATAAATGAAATCATGTTATGGTCACTGCTACCCAGATGTTTTTTTTATATGGACATTTGTAATAAGCCCTGCATGGTTTGTGATTACCAAGTCCAGCAGAGCATCATTCCTAGTAGGGACCTCTATGAACTATACCATAAAATTGTCCTGTAGTAGGTTTAAAAATTTTTGCTCTGCAGTATCATTACTCCAGTCAATTTCTGGGTAGTTAAAATCCCCCATTGTTATCATTGTCCCAGTCCTTGCAGCCCTTTTGATCTGTACAAGGAGATGAGTCTCCACTTCCTCATTTAACACTGGGAGGCCTATAACAAACTCCAATGATTACCTTTGTAGTACGCACCCCCATGTGCAGTTCCACCCATAATGCTTTAGCCTCATCACACTCTCCATCAGCTATGGAAGTAATGTTGAAGTGCTGTTGGGAAAAGATCTGTCTGTCTGTCTGTCTGTCTGTCTGTCTGTCTGTCTGTCTGTCTGTCTATCTATCTATCTATCTATCTCTATCTATCTCTACACAAATGTGTGTGCTTGGGCAGAAGTTGAATGGAGGAGTCCATAAATTTTCTTGCACAAGGGACCTTTCCTGACTTTGTCCGCAAATTAAAGTAAGAGGAGTACTGACATGGAGAGAGACCTTTTCAACAGCATCTGATACAGATTATACAGGTGAAAGTTTTGTTAGTGGAATGCTAGGAGTATTCTCAATATCCTCTAATACATGTGAAATGTCAAATATGCATCGCCCTTCCATGTGCTCCTTGCTGCAAAGACCAGTTATACAGTAGATTGGGGGCGGTTGCTGTTTGTTTCCACTGTTGGTATATTGGTGAGGGGCACATTAGAAACCTTGGCTGCCATTGTGCTATATGCTGGGTGTCCATTAGAAAGAAGTCCAGGCTTGTAACACATCAAAGGCCTTGCTCTCCACAGCTCTTGCAGTCTTCCATTATTCTATCCATCATGAAGCCACTTTCTCTGGTCTTCCTGTGAATAAAATTGAAGACAGCCTGTGGTGTGGAAAACAAAGCAGATTATCTGTTCCTTCTAATAATACATACACAATAGACCCTGGCCCTTCAGCTACAATCTCTCCTCCAACTGGCTTTTTTACCTGGATCTCTGACCAACACTTTGCCACTTGCCTGTATGCACTTCTGATCCTCCCAAAGAACATCAATAGGGAGGAGAGGAAATATACTAATACTTCCCAGAGGATAATTGCTGTTTATCTTGGAAAATTTGATGTTATAGAGCCTCACTTTCCACTCTTGCTGAGAAGTGTCCACTAATCAGTCAGAGCCCTGGCCACTGTCCTGAAACTCATCTGCCAATGCAAATATAACTTTAAACCTTCCAGTCAGATTCCTTCTCATTCCTAGATAGGCTTCAGCTTCAGATATGTCACTCTTAGTTTCTATGTTATAGGAAGCAGTAACTTGGTACCTGTTAAGCCCTGTTCCTTCAGGAACCTTAAGCAAATACTGAACTTTGCACTCCAACTGTGGAATCTGTGCCCCAGCTCACACCATCCTCTCATGTGGTGAACTTTTGGCTATTGGCCTAGAATTTAAACAACAGAACTGCTTGTGTAAGGATCCGATCCCACCCCCTTAGAGTATGTGTGGGTGTATATTTGAGTATCTGGTCTTTCACTAGCCTGTATCTTTCAATCAAACCAGCTCCCTGTGGATGGTATGTGAAATAACCAGTACACTCCGGAATCTTTGGCCCATTGCTGCATTGTTGATCCAGTGATATGTGAACCGTTATCACTTTGGACTTGTTTGGGACAGCTATAAGCAACAACAGTTGAAATGTTGCAGCTTGATCTGCATGTTTGCAAGGACAAACAAGTAAAAGTCCTGAATATGTGTCCACTGCAGTGCAACAATACCTCAGTCCATTGTTTTCCTGGGGCAGGGGACCAATTGAGTTTATCTGCAAAATCTCTGCAGGCCTCTCGCCCCTCTTAATCAACCTGGTTGAGTACTTTTGCAATGGCCATTGTCGCACTTCTCCACACACTGTACAGTTCCCTATTACAGTCTTTATAATGCCCATGGATATTATTATTATACAGTATTTATAAAGCGCCAACAGTTCGCTCAGCGCTGTATATTACAATGGGAGACAGAACATGCAACAGTACAATAACAATACAATGCGATACACGAGGAGTTCGAGGGCCCTGCTCCTTGGAGCTTACAATCTAGGATATAGGCAATTCTCTCTGTTGTGCCCATTCATATGTTGCTTTCTGTCCCAAATGTCCAGATTGCTTGTGGGCCCAATTTGCCAAGTTCATCAGGACAGGATCAATTTGCAAAAATTGCATTCACTTTGGTGATCTCATCTGCCACTCTGTTATTGTTCTTGAAGTCCAAAACTAGGGGCACATGTGCGTCAACATGCCCCACTTTTAAGGTGCAGGAGCAGGGGCGGACTGACCATTCAAGCAGTCGAACACTGCCCGAGGGCCCGGGGTCAGTAGGGGGCCCCATGAAATGCCCCTGGTACCTTTTATAGGCTTTTTTGGGTGTACTTTGAGTGTGGGCAAGGACACAGGGGCCCCATGATCCTCTATTGCCCGGGGGCCCCATAAGTTGTCAGTCCGCCCCTGTGCCGGAAAGAGCTTTCCAGAATTTCTTTCCATGAATCGTCCATTCATTGGACTTCCACATGGGTATCAAGGTTATTAGTCTCTTGACTAGTTGCTGACCGCGCTATAGCAAAATGGACGGCTCAATCGGCTAGTTCTGGGAGGGTGTCCATGGACTTTCTCCCAGAACCAAACCCCTCTTGCGCCCCCTGGAGCGAGCACCGTGCACGATCTGTGATCTATGTGTCCTTTGGATAAATCAGTGCCCTAAAGATCAATGTAGCCCCATCAGTGCCCATCAGCGCAGCCAATAGGCCCATCAGTGCCCATCTGTGCTGGCTATCAATGCCCACCTGTTCTGGCTTTCAGTGCCTATCACTGATGGCTCTCTGTGCCTCCTCAGTGGTGCCTGTCAGTGCCCATCAGTGATGCCTGTCAGTACCCATCAGTGCCACCCATCAGTGTCCATCAGGGCCACCTATCAGTGCCCATCAGTGCTGCATATCAGTGCAGCCTCATCAGTTCCTGATCATCAGTGCTCTTCAGTGCAGCCTATCAGTACCCATCAGTGCAGCCTCATCAGCACACATCAGTGAAGGAGAAAAATCACTTATAGCACAGCGGCTAAATGGTAAGCACTTCTGCCTGGCAGTACTAGGGTTGTCAGCTTCGCGGAGCTAATGGAATCGTAACCGGAAGTTACGCAGGAGCCGTGGCACTGCTATCTGTATGAAAGCCTTTTTTTTTTACTTAATTTTTAAGTACAGTTTTATAATACATGCATATCTTCATGCATACATACTGCACTATGTCTTACCTTTTTTGCTTTATGCGAGCATAATACAAAAGAAGAAGGGATCGTGATTTACAGAGCCAGATCACAACGCATGAGAACATATGCATCTTGTGTTTGAATAGCTTATGAGTAAACATCTAAGGTTGCATTAACAGAAGTGTTATTGGAAGGAGCTCCAAAAAAGGGAAAAGGAGTTTGAGGCTTGTAATTATATGGGTCTAATCTTAGAGTTGAGCACAATGGTGAGTGGTGGTGGGTATCACCACGTATGTTGTTGTGGAGTATCACAAAAGGCGGAATGCAATCATGTGGAGTATCACAAGAGGTAGAATGCAGTAATAAATCATAGGGCAAGTGGAGAAGAAATGCACGGCATATGCATGTACACTGATTGTTACTTTTATTAATATTTATTCACTGTTAGTAATATAATTTTCTTGTGGATGATTTTATACATATATATGTATAAATATTTTCTGTGGTTAATTATCATCATAAATTCAGACACTGGATTGTTATTTTTTAAGTGGGAGGCACAGCAATATATATTTTTTTCTTTTATATATATATATTGGTTGTGGGAACACAATCACCTTGCTAACAGCCACTCCGTTTTAGCATATTTTTCATGGTGCACAACATAAGCATTTGAATTTTGTATTCAATATATTGTTAGAGGCATGGGATACATAGATACATAATTAGTCTGGCTGAAAAAAGACAAAAGTCCATCCAGTTCAACCATAATTCACTTTGTTCTTTGTTAAAATAAAAAAATACATTACAAAACTTATAATAGAAACTAAGAAAAACGTATTTGTTTAGCAAATAAAAAAACTGCAGTGGTGATTAAATACCACCAAAAGAAAGCTTTATTTGTCCCAAAAAATGATAAAATTTAGCTTGATTACAGTGTTGCATGACTGCACAATGTCATTCAAAGTGTGACAGCACTGAAAGCTGAAAATTGGCCTGGGCAGGAAGGGGTTAAAAGTGCCAAGGCAAGAGGTTAAAGACCACCCAGATGTCAATGTAGATTGTAACATAAGAAGAAGGATCTTTTGAAGAGTCATTGCTACAGCTTTCAACTCTGCATACTGACTGGACCCTCCAATTCCAGTCTCCTGCAGGACTGTTTCTGTATTTGGGTTGTAGGCCCAGGGGTGGACTGACCATTTGGAAACTCGGGCACTGCCCGAGGGCCCGGGGTCAGTAGGGGGCCCCATGAGATGCCCCTGGTACCTTTTTCATAGGCTTTTTTGAGTTTGGGCAGGGACACAGGGGCCCCATGATCCCCTATTGCCCGGGGGCCCCATGAGTTGTCAGTCCACCCCTGTGTAGGCCGCTGTGGTCCATTGATGCAACAGATGAGGTGACTATTGCTGAACCATCAGTGAACCATGAGGACTCTTTCATGTCTTCTCACAGAGACTCAAAGGGTGGAGCCTTTTGAATGGGGGATGACTGCAGCACAGCAATTTATTCTTCTGTCTGGGTGTTGGTAAAAGTGACAAGCCCTACCAACTATTTTGAAAAGTTTCTGACATTCCCAGCTGCAATACCCCTTCTTGTTCTGAGCTACAATTGCCCTAGTGATCAGTCCATCTCTTGCTAATCCTGCTATTGACAATACAGTATGGATGGTGACTGGGTCCTTTCCTATAATGGTCTCTACAAGTGCGGCCCCAAACAAGCACTTCTCTAGGGGCATGTATCTCTTCTGTCAGTTGCTTGGACCAAAATCCAATGGGTATTGCTCTCTGCTCTTTTTTTTTCATTTGTTTGCCACAGACTCTGAGATATGATACCATCCTGCTTCACTACATCCAGCTGAAATGGTACTCCTTGTCTCACGGGTCCCAATCCTGAAGCTGTAAAATGGGTTCTTTAGCAGCAAGGAATGCTGCTCTGAACCCCAGGAATCTTGCTGTGTAATCCCAGGCCTCCCAGTGAGGACAATAAAGGAGTTCTGAGATTGAGTAATGCAGACTTCATCAGTTTAGAGTGCAGAGCAGACGTAAAGGGTTCCATATCTGGACCCATCCATTCTTGAAACTTATTTAATCCAGTTATACAGTCCATCTCATGTAACCTGGAAATACCTTCTCCTGCTGTTCTCCACTAGTAGGTATTTTCCAGATCACTAGGATTAGCGTATACTCAGACTATCCCATCTCTCATGAGGGCTAACAGTGAAAAATTCACAGTAAACTCTCTGGCTTTTCGCATCGCCTGATGCAATTGGGGATCAAGGGTTAACACTCCCATAGCTACTGCTTCCTTGCCTGACAAAACAACACTGTCTGCCCTTCATCACACAAATGTAGGAGCCAACTCAATAGGGGTTCCCCAGACCTCTGTATTATTTTGCCAGCTCATGGAGTTCAGTTTGTGTAAACTCTCTTACTTCTTCAAATTCCACATCTCTGAGGTTGCGGTAATGCAGCTCCCCATCTGCCGTATCCTCTCTATCATGTTGCCTTTTCCTGTGCTTAGCAATGAGAGGTCTTGCACGCTTTTTCTTTCCAACTAAAAGATCATCATCAGAAATATCAAACTCTATCTCCTCATCCTCACTATCCTGTGAGGAGAGCACATCCTCATAATCCCAATTTTTGAATGTGACAATGGCGCGAACCCTGGTTTTGATAAAAGGTTTACAGCCCTTCTTTTTCCTTAAAGCATTTGTTGATTTGGTCATGAGGGCTGCACACCACTCTTGAAAATCATCAGCTAGACTAGTAGTTTAATGTACACACTCCGAAGCAACTGACAGCTGGTCTTTTAATAGCTTAATTTCTGTCTCTGTATTCTCCCACCATTGTGATTTAGTTTAGAGAGCATGAAAAAAGTACCATCCAACTAAGATCACTGTCCTCTTATCTGCTTTACTTGATTCAAACCCCTCAAGGTTAAAATCTACAAAACGATCTGATACTTTATTACCCCAAGTCTTATTCAAGGGAGAAGCATGTTTTACAAATTCTTTAGCAAGAGGCTCCCACTCATTGTCTCTGGTCCAGATAGGCAGACTGTACATCTCCTTCTGGACACCAGAAAGCTCTGCAGCCTTGTTTTTCCTAAACAGCATACACAGCATTTTTACTTAGCACAAGCCACAGAATACATATAGGAGAACAGGTCTGCTTCAGTTGAACTTTAGCGCAAATCCAGTCATGAGACGATGATTCATGTCCTCCACTCTTCCTACCACTCCATCCCCCACAGCTATTTCCTCCTGTACCAAAAACCCCCTCCCTCCTAGATTGTAAGCTCGAAAGAGCAGGGCCCTCAAACCCCTCGTGTATCACATTGTATTGTTTTGTACTGTCTCCCATTGTAATGTACAGCGCTGAGCGAACTGTTGGCACTTTATAAATACTGTATAATAATAATAATAATTGTCTAGTAAAGGTTACTTTGCATTATAAGCAAGGAAGCTTAGACCTCTGTAATGTAATAATGTGCTTTTACTAAACAAAAATGCTGTACATACAACCTACTACAATTACAGGAAACAATACAAGACTGGCAGATTTACATACAAAAACAACTTGCTACCTATTTCCTAGTAAATAAGCAGAAACTATACTCTGTAAACAATAGAAATATGCTAAAAGTTACTCAACTCAAGTTAGAATGGGTCCATGATCTCCGTAGGCAATGAGGACCCCAAACTTACTCTACATTGATTGCCGGAGATCAGACACAAACATCTTCTTCTTCTTCTGCCTGGTGCAGACCTTGCTTGGTGCTGAGTCATTATAGAGTCCTCCTTCAGTTTCTGTTGTTGGCCTTTTATTTAGAATGCATAGATAGCCAATCCCACATGGGTGTGATCCCTTTTCCTGCCTTATTTACACTGTCATATATAGGTGAAACGTTCTCCAATTTGACCTCTAGATGGCACTGTTGTATCATACATGCCATAGGCCAGGGGTGGGAAACCTGTGGCTCTCTAGCTGTTGCAGGACTACAAATCCCATCATGCCTCTGCAAGTCATAGCTGTAACTGTCAGTTTTGCAATGTCTCATGGGACCTGTAGAGTCATGCTTGTAACTTCCACTCTTTGCAATGCCTCATGGGAAATGTAGTTCCACAACAGCTGGATAGCCACAGGTTGCCCACCGCTGCCGTAGGTCATATACGTATGTCAGAAGGTCGAGCTATTGTTACCCATTGATTAACTTGACATGTTCATTTCAGTTACATAATTAAATGTAGAAGAGCCCAACATACAACAATGGTATGTAAGTTCCCATTGTTTGAGGACAGGTTGTGTAATTGTTACCAAGGCATTTGTTTGAGTCCACTCAGACATTCAAAAGTAACCTGTCTTCCCTCTAGTCTGAGGAAAATCACATATATAATATATATAATATATTTTATATATACATACATCAAATGCAACACACTACCCTAAATTACATTAGATTGGGGGTTGGCAACCCATCGATCGCGGTCTACCTGATGATCGTGGACAGGTGACAGATAGACCATGAACAGGTCCCTCTCCCCCCCCCGTTTCCCCAACCTTCTCACCTGCTGTCATCCTCAGTCAGTCCTAGCAACTAATTACCAGCTTGTTAATATGAAAAGCTCATCTGGCCAGCTCCTACTCCTGCCCTTTGTCCTGAGCTGTGCTGCCTTCCTCTCTCCGCTGTGCACTAAGGATGACAGTAGTGGAGGAGGCTGGGAAAAGGGGGAAGACACCTTCAGTCCAGAGCTGTGCTGCCTTCCACACTCTTCCGTACAGAGGTAGGATACTGTGTGGTACACTGGTATGGGGGAAAGAGGAGGCAGAGGACACTACTGGGGGGTGATGTGCAGAGGTTGGTCAGGGCCACCTCTTTCCCCATAGCAGTGACCTCTACTCCCCCTTCACCCCACCAGCAGTGCCCTCTTCCCCCCTTCCCTCCCATGGACAGGTATTATAAACCTCCCAGCGTACAGCTACTGAAGAAGGAAAATCCAGGGGAGCGGTTCTAGTAAACGCCTCCCCTGCTGCCCTTTCTGTCATTGTTCCTCCTTTTTTTCTGCTGCCCAGCCCCTCACCCAAGTGCTCCCCTTTCAACAGGGCTCCTGAAAATGTGAAGAATAATAAAAATAAAATTGTAAAAATAAAAACTACTGACACCATCTACTGCCCTACTGACACCAACCTCTGCCCTATTGACACCAACCACTGCCCTGCTGACTGACACTGTCCACTGCTCTACTGACTGACATCATCTATTGCCCTACTGACTGACACTGTCCATTTTTAAGATAGGCTAACTTTGTATTTTTACAGTGACATTTGTTTTATTATATTTTTCTACATTTTCCTTACTATTTAGTTAGGCCTTGCTAGTTCATTTCTTTTTTTTTTTAAATGGTGCTAAACCTGGTGATTTTTTTATCTCATTCAAGTGTTATTTTAAAAGAAGTTGGTAATAGGTACAACAGGTTGATTGGGACATTAGTAGTACTACATAATGTATTTTATTAAATAGAATAATTGAAAACAATAACTGCAACATTTAAAGTAAACAAAACATCAAGCAAAATGTAATGAAATACAGGACAAAACTTTTGATAAAATAAAACACTAAACACTGATAATAATAGAAAACATAACATACACAAGAAAGCAGCAAAATAATGAGTAATGTCGAATGGATGTATTTCTTTGAAGGAAAGAAATAATGTATGGTAAAGTGCTTTCATGTGTTTTTCTTTCTTTACTATAATATATGTTCTTGTAGTTGCAGACTTGTGCATGTTGGTGAGATTTATGAAAGTGCCATTGGGTTATTACAGTGCCATTCATTTAGAAATAACTGTCCAAACTGAAAGAAAACTATGAATGATAACACCATTTTTATCTTTCTACAGATTCATATTATACAATATATCCTCTTTATTTATATATCCTGTGGTTTGCTGTTAGTCAGTTGGTCTAATTTTGAAATGATTTATATTTGTCTATTCAATGTATCTTACATATTAATGCATGACTGAGGTGCAGTATTCCAGATACATCATGATACATCATGATATATGTTGAAGAATATTAAAATTAGAGATATGGAGATGCAAACACAAAATTATCTTGAGTTTGCTGAAAGTTTAAACCTGTAAAATTTTTTCATATTCAAGTCATATAAAAAAACAGGTTAAACGTGCATCATTGCTAAATAATACAAGGTTGTATCACAAGTCTATAATGTAACCAGTGAATATATATTTACTAGATAAAAGTTTACTTGCCAATGGGCAGCAACAGAGAAAACAACACACTTTCATAATCTCATATATACAATATACTGACAAAA